ATGTCGGAGATGCTCTGGGAGGTACTCTGTATTGAAGGTCATCAGGAACTATTCTCAAGTGACTGGGACGGGCAGGGTGGCTTGCATGAGTTGCCACCAGCGACCTGCCTCTCCCACCAGCATGTAGGTGGCGAGTATAACTCTCTGTTCGGGGACCACCCCAAGAGTCGTGAAAGTATTCTCTGTCTCAGCTAATCAGTACTCAGCCTTTTCAAAAGAGAATACCCCTGTAAAAGTAGATGGGTTTAATTTTTTGTACCTCTCAATGTAACATGAGTCCATCATGGGTGGAACTGAGTCCCGTGGAAGAGGGACTGGATTGTGCTGGGGAGGGATCAGATGGTCTTGTGGTGGTACTAGATGATACGGTGGAGGCACTGGATTGTACTGTCGTGGTGCCGGGTGATGCAGTTGGGGTACCAGACCATACTGTGATAGTGTCGGATGGTACTGTGAATGAGCAAGGTTGTACCGGAGTAGCTCAGAATCCTCCCGCTGGAAAGGTGGCTCAAACTGTGGTAGCGGGAGAGGGTCAAGTAGCTCCCTCCTTTCGTCCTGGCTTGTTAGGCAATAATGATTCTCTCCAGCATTTCAAAGAGTCGGTCAATATCCTCTTAAAGTGAACCCTCCCGGACTGCTCGGTTTAGTGGGGATCTTCCTCTCCTAATCTATCTTTACCTGCATTTCACAAGGAACAGTTGAGTGATAATTTATTTTTTTGATGTTTCCTTAGGTTTTTGCGTAAGGAATGATTTCGAGAAATGCGACTCTGATACCAACTGTAAAGATCCGGAACGTAAAAAGTAATAAGGTCATAAATTAAATGCGAAAGCTAAATAATAGAGTTTAGGGTTTACATTCCTTACACAATAATTTATAATATCCAATAGGGATATAGGAATGTCCATTCTGAAAGGATAAACGAAAATAAATAAAAAAACAAAAAGCAAATAACTGAGTATTCTAGGACGACCTTCACTAGTTTTTGAAGGGAGTTCGGGTGGTGAACTTATTCATAACCCTCTTGTTAATCGGGATTTGAGTTTTAGTACTCTTGATCTGAAATAGTTAATGAAAGGGTGAGCTACACTAGCCCAATAAGAATATCACACTACTCACCGATACAGAAACTGAAGGTTGGTAAAAATCATAAAAACAACCAATTGAGCTCTTGATTTAAGTAAATTCATTTATCATAAAGAAAACAATTTA